CTTGCCATGTTGAGTGTGGCCACTACGCCAAAGTCACCTCACAGACTAGTGCTGTTCTTGGGGGTTTACTAGAAACAGGGAAATAACTAGCCTAAGCTAACTGGCTGCTGGATATAGCCTCATATTTACTGAACAGACACGAGAGTGGCATCACTCATCTAACTCTCAGCAAGAAAGCAATTAAGTTATTTCCCAAACTGTCGCACTATTCCTTTAAGGTATTTGTATCAGGGATACAGTTTAGATTCCTTCTAAAGCTCACTAGAGACCTTACCCGCCTGGTTCAGGTTGTGTAAGTCTAAAACTGTTAATGTCTTGTCCAGCTTGAAGTGAAGATACACATGCTGAACAAACTGCTGCGCATTTATCTGCAAGTCAGACGTGAGTCAAGATCTATCACTTGGGGACATGGGGAATGAGCTACTAGCTACTGATTCATGCAATATACATTACAACAAACATGGTCTATGTAATTTCTGCGCTCAGTTATTACCCTTAATTTGAATAATGTGTTTTGGGTTGAAGGTTTTTACATAGAGGTTAAGTATCTTTGTTTAATTTTGTAGGAAACTTTGATTTTGTATTCTGATGCTATGAACATAGAATTTTCTTATATCCTCTTTAAACATGTTCTGAGTGTCTGGTTTGGATACAGCCGCCCTATCAGTGGCTGGTTCAGCCATAATGATGTTGTTTAAGATGGGCTATCGCACACAAATTTACAGCTTCATTCTTATCATAAATTGACAGGAGCACTAAGAACGGTGGTTATACAGTCACATAAAACCTCCAGTTATGGCCTGTGTTCTGTTTAGCCCTTGATAGAAACGTGGCGTTGCTTCCTGGTGTATTTCTGACCATGGAAATTATAATATGGAACAAAGATTAGAATGAAATTATTGTGGCCGGAAGGCATTTACCCGCCGTGCTGAGGCACACTACACAGGGTTAGGGGAGGGGGGAAAAAACCCTGGTCCCCAAGAATAATGATAATGCATTAGGCTGTGAGCGTGCTGGTATTATTGCTGTACATTATGTATGTTCCATTTATACTACCTCACACAGCCCAACCGCTGCTGACGGATAGGTCATTACTCCCCGCACCGATGAACACTTATCAGGCCCCACTGCTGTTTATGGCCAGAATGAAGAGCACTTGTCAGTCAAGGTCACTGCTTTGTGTGTCCTCTTTAATAGTTCCTTCTTCACAGTTGTTGAACTTTGTGTGCTAGCTCAGGCCCCCCTCTAAGTGGTGAGATAGTTGGTGCCGGCTGCTTTAACGGGGAGATTCAGTCTTTTATGTAGTGTGGAGGGGCGTCCCTGCTGCCGGTGTTAACAGCCGCTGTGTGTTTGACCAATGGAGGTTCTGGAGAGGTTTCAGTGGTCTGAACAATGTTGAATTATGATCGCTGTGTGAGTGACTAGCATTGATGTATTTGTGTGCCTCAGAGATAATAGGAAACTGAGATAGATAGAGATCTATATATCTGTTAAAGTGCTGTGCGTTTGAGCTGCTTTTTGCATGGTTGCATGTGTGTCTGGCCGTGTGTGTATGTGTGTGAAAATGTATGATAAGTTCTGGTGACAGGATCCTAAGAGCCTGCTCTAACTGGAGGGCCAATGCTAATGCATGGCTGGTTGCATTACACCAGCTAGTGCTGAAATCAGAAGTGGCCTGCAGTACAGGATTCGGCCCTGGGACACAAATGGATTTTGGTTGCCTTGGATTCTTTTAGCCTCAAGCCTCTAATATTTGTCATTGCTGCACAATTCGTATCTCTGTATTTTGTAGCACTATAGGCCAGCGCAAGCAGAGACACGCATGCACTTGTTTATTCAGGCTGCTGAGGTAAGAAGGCTTGCCCCGTAGTAACTGTCGTTGTTATTTTGTGTTACGCTCTGATCATGTTTTTCCTTGCCGTACTTGTTTTCTTTACCACAAAAATAGTCATCATTCAATTTGCAATCACTTCTTTTATTAATAAAAAATCTTGCTTAATTTGCAGTGCACACATTTGCAGCAGTGTCTATTCTCATTAGATTTTTGTCATGAAGACATTGAGCAATAATTAGTCAAATTTAGCAAATGATGAATTAGATTTCTTCAAAAGATGTACGATTAAATCACAGGTTACCGCTGTGTTGTGCCATGCAGGCAATACTCCTAACGGTAGACTCACAGTGTCACAGGAGGTTCACATGGACGTTGTTGCCTTTGACATAAACAAACTAGATCTCTGAAAATTACTGACTCTCATCTTTGTCACAAAAGTCTCCCTTCATCTTCACCCTCTGTCACAGCCTTAGTTTGACTCTGTCATAAATCCAAATGGGTGAGCTCCACTGTCGAACCCTCAGCTGTAAAAATGAACAGTTCCTGATCCTCAGCTTTGATGCAATGCTGACAGGAGTCACTTTGATATACTTGGGAGTATGAAATTTCGATCTGTCGTGTTTTTTTTTTTCTTCCCGAGGCTTCATCTTTGCAGACATTGGGAGCTGTCATTTTGCGACACCCTGTGACGTGGGTGACACTCAGCTGACATGACAGGTGCTGGACAGCAGACACACTCCTAGGCGATCTGGCAATATTTCTTCAGGTGAAGTGCCGAAATGTGTAAATGAATTATCTATAAATTTATCTCACTGGATTTTTTTTATTTTTATAAATCTCGACAAAAATATCACAAGTATCATACACTTGTCTACTGGATGTGTGGAAATCTTCTGAAAGATAAAATATCATCATATCATTAGTAATCCATGCTTTGAATTTTGCAGATTTGTTGATTTGGTTATTATTTGCTAATATTGGCATGCTAATTGCAAGTTCTCTTAACAAATGTAAAAGTTTTATTCATACAAAAAATACATCATCATCTTGGGGGATCTACATGGATAACGGCATTCAAAATTCACAGTGGTATAAATTTCACATGTCTTGCTAAATTCCTCATGCTCAAGTGATGGCCACTGCTTAATTGCACTTGTGCCACGAGACCTCGTGATATTAAAACGCAACGATATTTCTCGTCGAGGTGAAAAGCTGTCTCATGATATCAGCATGATGGAGTGTGAGGGTGAAATTAGCAGAGAAGATGCACCACTACTTTTAAATCGTTTGTGTGGCTGAATTTTGGGTATCCGGTGGAAATAATAAACAGCAACAGAGTGACCGACAAGACACAAGATGTAAGCAACATTTCAATGCACCTGCATTTTTTTGCATTTTGTGACTTTCATTCGAAGTCAGGACTATTTTTCTTGTCATAATTTTTGCCATTGAAGATTTCTTAAAAATAGTGTTAAAATATCGTCTCATCATTCTTGTGAGCCACGCGTATCGTCACAACTCTAGTACTAATGCACTCCTTCATGCTTCAATTCCTTCATGTTGTCTTTTTCCTATGTTTTACTTTGCCTATATGAATAATTTGTGGTCTCAGATTCAGCCTTCAGAAAGTCTTGAAACAAACTGATTTGTAGAAAAATGTATGAAATTATCATGCCTTATTAGCAAATTGTTTAGTATTTTAAGAATTTAAGGTCTTATGACTCAACAGCAGACAAACTGGCTTGTTAAGATGGAATATTTGTTGCAGTGTGTACTGGGATGTAGGCTGCAGTGCTCTGTGGGAGCCCACAGGGTGTATGTTCACAGTGTTTCCTGGATTAGACACCTTGGTATGGCCTGTGGAGAGATGTTCGTAGTCCGCTGTTCACACAATCTGCCTGCTACAGCTGAGCTGCCCTTTGCCAACAGGCCTGGAGACAGGACAGACAGATTTAGATCCACATGTCACAGTTCTCTTTTGGTGCAGCTCAACAGTTATTGTTTTCTTGGTTTATGCCATTATAATTTAGGAAGATTCTTCTTAGGACGAATGAGGATATTCTCGCTTGTGCATTTGCCCATGAATGTGTCTAGGGATATACAAATTGTTACAATGTTTATGTAACTGTTTTTCAGCAAGTAATTACAACAAGTGAGCGTTATCAGTCCATCTGTGTGAGGCCAAGTACTTGTACCAAAGTCAGTTAAAGGAAATCAACATTTCAGAAGTCGCTACACTAATTATGTGTCTGTGTGCCCATATGCATATGTGCTTTTACTTTTATTGAGTGTTGTCTGATCAATATGTTGACGTATTGGTTGCTGGATAACCTGGCAGTTCTGTCACAAACGGCACAGTTCACAGCTTACAAGGCCTATTGTTTCACCACACACGCACACACAAACATGTTGACATGCTCATCTGTCACTAGGAAAACCGCCACAGGCTGTGGCCTTGGCACAAAGACATTCTCTGAGCTGAGTGAAGATGCTTGGAGCCAAGATGCACCCAGTCAAAATGTTAAGAATTTCAGATGCCAGAATAGACAGGCGCAGGCGTTGATTTGAGGAGAAACGATGTTGAAGCAATACTGTAGATATATATTACAAAGATGTTTTGCTTGTTTCTGACAACTATGTAAACTCACTGGTTGGTGGTGTCGGGGCTTTGAAAACGGAATTAAATAAATTGATTACTCGAGGATTAAAAGCATTAAGCTCTAACACCTCTTTTTCAAACCGTTCTTTTCCTCTGAAAGTGCCTGCCAAAAACCCTTACTGCCTCTGAAATTAAATCTCCAAAAGAGCTAGAGCAAATGCAGAGCTAATGAGACACCATGTGTACAGGGTGTGGTCAAGAAGGATTGTTTACTTCTAAGCAGGAGCTGTAAGTAGGCATTATTATCATTATTTTGCATCTGCATTCGTTCAAGAAACAGCTGTTAAATTTTGAGCGAGATTTAAAGTGGCAGGGCCTGGAGTTGTTCTTGTTCATTCAGCTAACTTAGCCTTGACATGATGGCTTCTGGCAGAGTTTTGTGCTGAACTCAACATCTGTGACAACCGTCAGCACCACTGACCAGTCCTCCCTCCCTCCCACTGTCTCTTTCTCTTCTGTGTTTACATATTTCTCTTCGTCTGTCCTCCATCTTTCCCTGCCTTCCAGGATTGCCCAGTTTGGGGGGTAAAGACCAACACAGAAAAAGCGGGAAAATGGGAACCTCTGATGCCACTAGATCAGTTTCTTCTGCCAGTATCCATCTCCATCACTGCCACATCAGCTGGTCCCAAGGTTGTGAGGTCATCCAAACATCTGGCCCCTCCGCCATGTTTTCTAAGGTCAGTGGGTAGCATCTGTTTATGGACCCCGGCACCTTCAATGCCTCTGACAACGAAGAGCACGCTGAGAAAACTAGACAAAATGCTTTGATCAGTCATAAGTGTTGACAAGCTGTAAATCTGATGTAAGTAAACCTGCCACTGTGCCTCTACACATGGAATTGTTTTCTCAAATAATACAAATATTAATAATCAAAAACACAACCACGTAATAGTGTTGGTAAAATCGTAAGGCTGGCATTATCCCAAATTATTCTTCTTATTTGTGAAGTAAGTTTAAGTAATTTCGATGTTTAGAAATGCCGTGTAAAACCCAAACCAATAATGAACCGATCCTATTAACAAGTATAGTCTGTGTGTCAAAAGCCTGATAATATCTTATTCCTCTGTGCCATAGAGCTCCATTGTCTGTTTAAAAACACATAAATAAGCCATACTGTTGCACTTGGTGAGAAGTTCAGCTCAAATGTAAGTCGCTTTGGATAAAAGCATCTGCCAAATGAGTAAATGTAAATTTAAGTTCCTTCATTAACATTCATTAACATGAACAATGTAATTTATTTTGAGTCCATTCCATACATCCCGTCCTGCTGCCATAAATACTTGAAAGTAGTCCCCAACAACTGCAATCTTTCCCTGTGTTTGAGTATTATTTCCTAAAAAATACAGTGCCCAGCAGTTTTAGGAAATGATTAGCCTTTTAAACTTTATTTGTCATCTATTTTTAAAGGCTAACATCTTCAGAGAGACTAAAGCGTTTTGGGATTTCTTGGTATTAAGAAATCCTTTAAGACTTAAAAAGACCAAAACAACTAAATCACAATTGCTAATACTACTCCAAAAGTATGTCAGATTAGTTGCATTCGATTTCTGCGTATGTTGTGTATGTCTTGATTTCCTCCTCAACATGTTAAATCTTTTTTAACAGTACCCTTACAGTTTGAGCTCAGGTGAGTTGGCCCAATGTTTTTTATTGAAAACTGTCATCAAATAAAAATTCCAGACTGTTCTCTTGGAGTTGAGTTTGTAATTGTGATTGTTTCAGTGTTTCCCTGGAACGTTAACATTATTTTGTCCAACCCATGTATATGACATACAAACTTGTGGCAGATGTTTACAATGACATGTCACTGTCAACTGTTGTTAGCAGAAATATGAATCTCTGAAATGGAACAGCTGAAGTGAAGAAATTTAGATACTTTCAAGAGGAGTTGCGAGGTTTTCACTTAAATGATGATACAGTGTCGTCATAATCCTTCTATCATACAGTATGTATGACCCTATCCATATCCCTATAGTTCATTTATAAAGACAGAAAGACTTCACTTGGCTTATCCTTACAAAAACAAAACCACTGTTCCAGCTGATGCAGGTTTATAAGCCAGGTGATTTGGTAGCAGGCACCTGTCCCTTTTGTGTCTGGTCCCGGTGAAGTTTGAGCAGCAGCCGGTGCTGTGATGTCAGGGGCTCTTAGGGGTCAGGACAGGAATTATTGAACAGAGGGTGGCTGACAGAGGGAGCTGGCACTGGGAGCAAACAGATGTTGCAATCATAAAGAAATACACAACCTCTGAATTAAATATGAAGAGCGGGGGCAGCAAGAACAGAGGATGCTGGTGACTTTGCCTCTGCTTCTTGGCCACAGTGGTTCATTGCGAGTCAAAGCACCACTGATTGTTGTAATGAGAACTAGTTGAATTTTCTCAAATGATGCTGGTTTCTTAAAAAGTGTTTGAGAGAGGCAACCAAAAGCTTTAATAAAAAAAAATTCTTGCAAAAAGACAGCTGTTCGGAACATACTGTAGATTCATTATTCAGAGGCAGAGGGTCTCTGGACGCAGCATGTTATGTCAAAGTGTTTTAAAGCATTTACGCCACAGCAGCTCAGTGATGAAATCTGTAAAAAAGAGAGGAATCTGACAGAATGTCCTCAGAACCTTGTTTTTACCACAAGTGTTTTGTTTCCCCGTCATTTTTACAGAGATTCTCACTCACAAGGTATTACAAGTCTGTCTGAATATTTGATGGGAGCAGAAACCATTTCTGTCTTTACTGAGAGAATAGGACCTTACTGAGACAGTTCAAGGTCTTCTCATCCAATAAATCATGTTATTTGGAACTGGACTCCAATTCTTCTAAAACGATGCAAGTGTAATAATGTACTGGATCTGTTTTTATTTTACTAATCCCATGTAAAACTTTGTGTATAATAACTGATGAAAAAATTGTAAAAATCAATACATTTTGGCTTCTTTGCTGTAGTTGGTACTAGGAGTGTCCTATATGAATAAATCTTTATCAAAATATCGATAATAATTTTCTGGAAAATGAATTGTGTATAAAATAACCACAAGGGAATGTCAACTCCAGTTAATATAATGCCAAAATTCCATCACATTAATGCACAAATGATGCTTAATTCCAATACTGCCCACACTGACCTTAAAGACACAGTGGTTATAGGGAAACGCTACCGCAGCAAAAACAAATGTATATCATCTCATGGTATAGATAGTTTGAACTTTAAGCATGTTCAAAACTACAGCACAAATAACAGAGAATTTAATGTCACACTTGTGATCTTGTTTCACGTCTTTTTTTCAGTTAGCACGCAGTGAAAATGTCATCAGCCTACAGCAGTGGCTTTCTCAGATGGACAGATGCCACCTGAAAAACCTGATCTTTTCTCACCGGAACCCAACATAGTAAATGCACTTCTTTCAACAATTTATTATCTAAAAACATGATGTATTTGAGCCTTAAATCCTCCGCCGCATACCTCTGTTGGTTTATCTCTAAAGTGGATGGTCTTCTGCCAGTGAGGCCTGGCTCCGAGTGCTTCAGTGTCAACACTGAAGAGCGAGGGCCAGAGGGGTGATGTAAGTATTGATACACTCCTTGAAATCACTTTGTCACCGCCAGAGATACCAAGCTGCAGTAGCGACACGATGGCAGGAAGATGATTGTGAATTCTTGGCAGAGGTTTGAGTGATGCCATTAAAAAGGCAAATGTGATTAATTTTTAGTGAGAACGCCCTCTTCTTGGTGATTGTCAGCGAGGTCAGGCTAAAGGGATGTGACACAGAAATTACTCTTCCTCCTGGCGTCTAATGTGACTCGTCACTCTGAGGAAATATCTGGGAGAAAGGGAGACTGACAAAAATGCTCTCATCTAATAGACTAACTATTTGTCCGTGGGGTAATGTGGCGGAGATCTAGCTCAATAGCGCTAAGTGATCTATTGCTTAAAGACCAGACATCACTTGTGATTCAACACAAACAAAAGTGTTTCTATCTCAAACCGTTGCTGAGGGTTTCATCACATTTGTATGGATGAGGGACAAAAGCAATTTAAAACAATCAGGGAAGCTGTATTACTATAGATATAGTACATTTTCCTTGTATAGGACATGTTTTGACATTTTAACATTCTTTGTGAATTTCCTGTTATGTGTCAGTGTTGTCAGGGTTTTCTTTAAACCTGTGTGAACTGAGACAAACCCCCCTGCGGAGTGACATTTTCCAGGCGACACAATAACGCAGGTCACACTTTATCCCGACCCCCTCATAAACACAGAAGGGCTGCAGCACTCCTTCTCTATCTGTTGACGTGCTAACAACAAAAGACAGCTCACAGGTCACAATAAAGGTTATGTCTTTATTGATTTCATGCAGTTTTGGGCAAATGCTTTTTACAAATGAACATGTATAATTATTGGTATATGTTGGCTGCAACTGTGTGAGCAACAGAAATCCTACCAGGAAGCCATTTCTTATGGTAATTTAAGGTAATTTGGCTTTTTCTTTATGCCTCTGCATGCAGATGTTTTGTGTCTACCAATACATCCAAGCTTAATCACTGGTACCAATGCAGGCAATGTTGCTTTGTTCAAAAGAAGGGAAACATACAGTAGGTTTTATTGTCTACAAGGATACATTGATGGGTTGACTAAACAAATAATTTGAAACCTGCAATAACTGTTTTTACAGCCACATGGGGGCAAAGGAAACAAACTATGTAAACAACACTATATTTTGAACCTTCTGACAACTTTTGACTGACCTTTTAAGTTGATATGGCGGACTGTTATATATGTAACTGTTATATGGGTTGGGTTTAAGTTCACCGGATGAATGTAATTTCAATAGTCACTCTCTTTTGAGCTCTGTTTTTGATCTCCGCCAACAACACCTGGTCGAATATCAAAATGTAAAAAATCACAATGATCACAATGTTGTATCCATCCATCCATCCATCCATCGTCAACCGCTTATCCTGCGTACGGGGGGGGGTGGAGCCAATCCCAACTGACATCAGGCGAAAGGCAGGGTACACCCTGGACAGGTTGCCAATCCGCGATGTTGTATGTGCTTGTGAAACATTTATACAAACAGATACATAAAAAACCCCATGTATTTCTGTAGCTTTGGGCAGAGCTGAAACTGACCCCCCAGACATCCATGAACAGAGCTAAACTATTGATCGGATAAGTCAGTTTACCTTCAAACTGTTCACTTAGACATAAAAATGTCAGTTTAGAGTTATCCAAGAAATTGGAAAATTGTAAACTGAACTGTTTACTTTATAATTACCAGTTGTGCTCTCTGAAAACAAACATTCTTCTGCGTGCTGAATCGATTATAAAAGTCATATTATAAGCCAGATGAGATCACAATAGCTTAATCCCCTTTTGCTTGTAATCTTGGTTTAGTCTTTGGTTTGTATGTCCTCCTCAGGAAATTGCTGTCTCACTGCTACAGTCTGGCAGGGCAGGCTCCTGCGCACAGTGCTGTAGTTTACTTTGTGAGAAAACCGCTCACGTTCTTGTATCCCATTACCACGACCACCTTGAGATAAATGGCTCTTTCTCCCCTCTGCCATAAGGTTTTATATCAAATGACATGTGTTGAGTATCTGACTGCTGGTTATATTGTTTAAGCGGAAATAAAACAATCACTTCTCAAGCTGAGCGCCTGCCTGTGGTGTGTAACTGCTGGCCAACCTATACACACTGTTTATAGATGTAAGGAATAGGACAGTGGCCGGTGACAGGTTAACTCTGCTGTGTAAATTCCTGGGCCGTGTATGATGTAGCCTGTGATCCTGCAATCCCTGATTAGATCTGAGCTAGTAAATATCCTGTGATTAATCAAAAGGGCTTGTTCTGCGTGTAGCGCCCCTGTGTCACCTTCACAGCTGGGGAGCAGGGCCACTTTGTTTACCGCACACTACCTCCATCTCCTCAGTCCCCATCCTTATTTCATCACAGCCCACAGTGGGCCAACATAAGGCTCCTGCAAAACCCAGTGCTATGAAAATAGTCTGAATTGTAAACTGAGATTAATATGAAATGTTGTAGCAGATTTTTCTGATTGTGCATGATATTTCCGTTTAGATAGTGTCACACATGTATATAAAGGAGCTTTGTAATTTTTAATTTTATCAATAATCCTGTAAAACAACACAAACAAACAATGAATCGATCCTGCAAACAAATATTGTCCGTTTAGTAGTAGTCAAAGCCTGGTATTGCTTATTCCTCTGTGCATCTCCATTGACAAAGCTATTAAAAACACATCAGTGAGGTGATATGCTCCTTCATGAAGATGAACAGGGGCACTGTAGTTTATTTTGAGTCGATCCCACATACACCGTAATGTCTTCAAATAACACCAAACACCAAATGTGTATTAATCCACAGCTGAAAGTAGTCCCCAACAAATGCACTATTTACTCTAATGATAGCTAAATCTACCGTGTCCAGCTTTTTTAGGAAGTTACTGTGCTTTTAAATAAAATAAAGAATTTTTTTTCGTGCTACAGGAAGTGTTGGGAACTTTGAAAGTGTTGCAAGACGGACTAAAACATTGTTGGCTTTGGCCTTTTTAATGGGATTTGTTGACAATAAGAAATATAGACTAATGCCAGGCTTAACCTTTAAATGCAACATAATTAACACCCAAACAGAGAATATCCCCTGGAAACGGCTTTGCTACAGGCTCATTACATCCATGAAACATGTTAAAATGAAGGCCAACATGATAATGGGTGATTATAGTAATTAATAGACTGAACTAATTACTTTAGCTGGTAGAGATTCATTTAATGCTGAAGAGTGGTGTGTGTTTGAGCAGAGCTTGTCCAACTGAAACTGAACATTTCTAATTAACCATCCTGCTCTGCTAACTTACAGCGGCTGTGACATTATCTGATAAGTCATTCTTTCAGTTGCTTTGTTTGTTTTAAAAAAAAAACCCTCCTGTGTGGAGTTTGCTACACCTCCTGAGAGAGACTTTTTTTATCCTTGAAACAGTTCACTTGGAAAATGCATCCTGATGCGCAGACTTGTCAACACAGTCTTGTCCACAAAGCGTGATTTAACTGATTGAGCCCCCCTTTTCACCCCCTTTGACCCTTTGATTGTCATTCGAAGACGGTGTAAGGGACATACATGTCATGTTAATAAAGACATTAAACCACATGTACCCCTCCACCACAGAACAAAGTCCGGACCTGTCTGGGAATATAGATATCTAATTGCTTTTGCGTGGTGGTGCAGCAGAATTGTGCTTCCCAGATGTCACCTCTGCCAAATCCGAGTGCACGTCACTGTCAATAGGCCTGAGAAATCTCCCTAACAAGCTTGCGATTACATAAATCTATCGCCGCTCTGGATATTGCACCAAAGAAACTGAACAACTTTCAAGGAGACTTCATGTTTGATGTTCCAGGGCTTGATTGCATTTTGAAAAAAATAGAAACCCACTATATTGGGAATGTGTCCAAACAGTCTAGGTTTGCTAATTTTGTCATAGTCAATTTCATAGTGCGGCCGTGAGAACGGGCAGCAATGGAATGAAGTTCCTGAGTGCTTTGCAGAGGGGCGTGAGTGGGTTTGACAGGCCCAGTGAAATATGCTCTGCTGTACCTTTTTCCATTACAGGAGCGGGGACCCAGAATGCAAATCCAGGGGTCCTCTCTCAAGAGGTCATTATAAAAGTGACATATCAAACAACTGGCTTCAAGTGGCAGACACAATCTTACAATACTGCTACAACAGTGTTTTCATTTTTTAATTTGTGATATTATTATGGGGGGTTCTTCACACTCACATTTTCAGGATAGAGCTGTTTTGTTTTGAGCAGCTCTCTAAAGTCAATGTTTAAATTTAGCCTCAGCGCTCACCATGTTTAATATCGCACAAATCCTTGATCATCACAATAGTAACCACATCCTTAAGAGAGTGACTGATAGACTGGATCTGTCTCATGGCCTTCTCTGAAGAGGTGATGAATTGGCTTAATGGTGAGTAGACCAGAGAGCCACGCTGAGGCGGTGGGGTGTGGGGGTGAGAGGAAGCATTAAATGACATGGTTTTATAGCCTATCAGCATTGTCATACCCCCGCTGTAATTTCAGCGTCTTTTTTTTTCTGCACCATAAGGCGGGTTGGATGTTCAGCCCTAAGCTCGGTTAAACACACAACTCTCACATACCTGGTACCTCGTGATGCCGTGTGTCATCGCCAGTAGAGAAAGTTGACATGCTGGAGCACTAACCACGAGGCACTCAAAAGTTAGACCTTTAGAGAGGGCAGTCTGTCTCTCTGTTAGTCCGTCCTCCGCATTAGTCCAGGCTGAAAACAAGTATTACATTGATTGTCATGAAATACTGTTCAGACTTTGTGTTCAGTGCTGATTAGCTAATCTTCCCAGGACCTGAGGTGGGAGCCCAACACTGACACCATCATCAAGAAGACCCAGCAGAGAATGTACTTCCTGCGTCAGCTCAGGAAGCTCAACCTGCCTAAGGACCTGCTCCAGTTCTACACAGCCATTATCCAGTCTGTTCTCTGCACGTCCATCACTGTCTGGTTTGGATCTGCCACCAAAAAGGACAAGGACAGACTACAACGTACAGTCAGGACTGCAGAAAAAATCATCGGTGCCAACCTGCCCTCCATTCAGGACTTATACATTTCCAGAGTCAGGAAATGGGCAGGAAACATCACTGCAGTTCCATCTCACCCCAGACACAACCTGTTCCAGCTCCTCCCCTCTGGTAGGCGCTACAGAGCACTGTACGCCAAAACCAACAGACACAGAAGCAGTTTCTTCCCACAAGCCATCACGCTGATGAACATCTGATTTCAGACTCACAGTGTCAGGAACAGTTCCTGTGCAATAACCCAGTAACTCTGTCTCTAATCAGTCACCTCTTTACTGGTTTCCACTTATTATTTATTTATTCACCATTCTCTATTTCAGTACTGTTCATACTATGTCATATTGTATATACTGTATACCAATACACCTACCTCAGGTCATAAGGTCATAGGTCTTTTTTTTTTTCTCCAGCATCCTTTGCACTATGCTCCATCACACTTTGTACATGTGTACATGTATGTGTACCTGTATATCATATCCACCTTCAACATGTACATAATGAGAATAATAGTTTACTCTCGCATCCTTTGCACTATTTGTCAATATGTCTATATTGTTTTGTTCATAGTGTGTATATTAGTGTTGTGTATACTATACTGATTTGATTTTATTATTTTGTTATTGTGTTATGGTATTTTTGTACGTGTAAGCACATCATGAGCAATGTACATGGGCAATGTAATGTCAAATTCCTCATATGTGTACACATACCTGGCGAT